CATTTTTGTTAGGGAAAGCATTCTTCAGGAAAATCATATCAGCTCTTGCCTTCACATCTAACAGAAATGTATAATACTGTAAGAAGAGACAGTATAAAAGGCAATATGCATGGCCCTTCCTTCCAGTATCATAGACCTTATATACTTGTATGGTAGGTTATAAGTCCTGATAATTGATAAACCCAGATTCTAGTCCTGTCTTTTGCGCAACTGAAGTGTGTAATCTGTGCCAGACATTTTATTTCAGTAGACCTTAGTTTTCTCATCTGTGAAAAAAGAGGCTGGTATGGTGTGGACAAGAAGACCCTTCCCATAGTAACTCCTTATAACTCTGACCTGTTAGAGCCACAAGAGGAAGTGTCTTCCATAAATACTGACACACTGTAGTATTTTAAAATTGAAATTATTTCATATTTTTTGTAAATTCCTGACTTACACCTTTTCTCATGTGAGAGCTTGAAAGGCCCATGCTCGCTTTAGCTGCAGAACATTGCCCTTTCCAGAGCAGAGTGAAAGGTACATGGAAGATGCCCCTAATGGAGATACATTGAGTTTGTTTCAGCTGTGAGAAATTAATGTGTTAAGAGATTACTCTTGGACCAGTCTGATGCTTGCCAGTGTCAGAGAAATAGATGAAGCAGCTCTTGTTATTGAGTAGTATACTCTTGAATGGATGATAACAGAAACTGTTACATTCATTCAAAGAACATTTAATGAGATCCTGCCATTTACCTGGCAGGCATGGTATTAACCCTGGGAAAATAAAGAAAATCATAATAAGTAGCCCCAACACCAGCTTTCATCGAAGTAGAGAAAACAGGCATTAAGAACTCTGTACAAATACGCAGTACTCCCATTTTACAGGTGGAAAAGGGTGAGATCAAGTAACTATCCTTTAAAGGATTGTTAAAAGTCAGATTGTTAATAAAAAGATGTCAAAATCAGAAAAAGTAGTTGAAAAAATAATAGAACTCACCCTGGCTTCCCCTCCCCCTGACTAAAGGTAATTTCTGTTGAAGTAAGGTGACTAGTGAATTATCATTTGGATTTCTTCATATTTCTTTTGTTCAGGTCTGAACAACAGGAACATTTCAGCTAATCTCAACAGCCATGATGGGAGGCAGGGAGATAGGTAATCTCTAAGGACATTGCCATTGCAATTATATAGGGATTTATATATCAAAACCATTTTTAGTCATTTTTGCTGTGGTAGCAAAGACCTCGTTTTACCCACTCTTTATCTTGTTAACTCTTCTATTCTCTATTTCATTTAATTCTGCTGTAATTCTTACTATTTCCTTTCTTCTGGCGCCTGAGGGCTGCTTTTGCTGCTCTTTCTACTTGTTCCAGTCGTAGAGTTAATGTTTTGATTATGGCCCTTTCTTGTTTTTGGATGTGTGCGTTTATTGCTATAAACTGACCTCTGAGCACTGCTTTTGCTGTGTCCCAAAGGTTCTGGTAGGATGTGTTTTCATTCTCG